CCTACATAATAGAATGCTCAGTTTCTGTGGGTACGGAACCCTGTGGTCGGTGTTCCACTGACCCTACCTTTGCTACGCTGTTCTGCTTTTCCGAGTAGGTCCGCAATGCTGTTAAATTGAAGAGGGCACCTGAAGCGCTGGAAGCAGGGATGTAACTCTTACTGTCTTACTCTCTCCCTCAGGGGGGAAGAAAGTCGGTCTGTCTGGAAAAAAAAAACTTCCTTCATCTTCTTCATTGAAGACTGGTGTACATAGTCTCCTAACTGGATTGACTAGACATGGAAGTCATGTTCAGTTCCATTTTGTGTGTGTGTGTGTGTGTGTGTAAAATCGTGTTGTCTATCCTTACAAAAAGTACTGTGGTGATGCCATTGCCATGGTATTATATTGTGATTTGATTTGTTTGATTTAACCTACTGTAAACTTTGTCTCAGATGTTTTTCCCCTTAATTCATAGTAAAATATGACTTGATTGCAAATGGATTGTTAAAATATATTTAATAAAAAAAGCTTAAATTTTCTTCACATTTAATCTTCTAGGAGATGTTAAAACAACAGCTAAAATGTTAAAGAAATTTGTGGAGTATATTGTTTTGTATTAATTTATTATGTTTTTTTACATGGTACACCAATCCAATGTCCCTTACGATTATTATAATTATTATTTTAATGTCATTCTTTTCTCTTATTTTATATATTTGTCTTACAATATATAATATTTAGATGTTTGGGTTTCATTAGTTTTCACTTTGTCCACTTTCATGGCTAGTTTTACTTTTTACTTTTCTAAGACCCTAGTTTTTATTTTAGCTTTAATTTGATTATTATAATTATATTATTTTAATGTCATTCTTTTCTCTTATTTTATATATTTGTCTTACAATATATAATATTTAGATGTTTGGGTTTCATTAGTTTTCACTTTGTCCACTTTCATGGCTAGTTTTACTTTTTACTTTTCTAAGACCCTAGTTTTTATTTTAGCTTTAATTTTTTTTGTATTTTAGGGCTACCAAATGTATTTTATTTTAGTTAGCCTTTAAATGTTTTTTTGGGTTTTTTTTCAGTTTAGGTCAAGTTTTCCCAGTTGTTACTTTTTTCTTTTCTTTTAACAATAGTAATACAGCGTCCCCAATCTATGTGATGGAGAAGGGTCTCTGTTGTGGTGGGTTGATGTCTATTGATCTGCCTCATTCAATATGAAGCAGAGGCTGCAGACAAATTGAGAAATACTCTAATAGCAACCATTCGTCCCCATGGACTAGGGCATTAAACACACTCTCCAAACATGTCTCTCATCCTCCTCCTTGCAGGACGAAAAAAAAATACAAGCGCTCCGCTGTTCATTTTTCTCTCGCTTGCTTTCTCTGTCCCCTGATGGTGCTGCTCTTTCTGTCTTTTTGTCTGAAGGTATCGTATATAAAAGCTATTGATTCTCTTCAGCCAAGGGGACACCAATCACACCAATGTAAATATTTGATAAGGAAGCCATCTGAAATCTCTCAGAGATGTTTCACTTTTCCATCTTCTGCTCATGAGCAAAAGTACAATCTCAATATGTTCTGTTTTACATCGATTATTTTCTTCTCCCATCAATAATTTGTTGACATTTTGTTGCTAAATGTAAAATTCATTACTTGGATTTGGTGGTCAACAGTTTTTCAAATATTAATAAAAAGTGAAGAAATGTTTTTAATGTATTTAATATAACAATGCTTTTAAATTTTTTTTTATATATACATATATTAGAGACATGAAAATCATCATAAAGGAGGTGCATTCAGGTCATGAATTGCATTTTTAAATTGTTTTTTTTTATAAAGTAATAGAAAATGAGTGTCATTGATTAATAGCATGGCTATACCAGCACCAAACCAGCATAAACCATCATGTTCACTTATTTTGTTTGACTAAATTAAGATTTCATTATGGTAGACTCACCTTGCTAGAGGATGTTTTCAGGCTCTGATGATCTCAGATAGACCAATTAATCTGGAGCTTTTCAGCTCTACACATTGGGGCAAATTGTTTCTCCTGGATCTGTCCTTCACAGCATTTCCATATCCTGTAACGTACTTTCATTTGCGGTTAGCAGGCGTAGTCGAAATCTGCCTTGTTGCTATTGCGCTGGCTTTGACACACTAGACCATTTGGGTTCCACAAAAGGCTGGGCTTCCCAAGGGCTTTTTTGGTTTGGCATCGAACACAGAGAGGGTGCAAAATCATAATACACACACATGCTGTTTCATTTCAGGCCTCGTTCCAAACCACCACGGGGACTTTACACCTCTTACCTCACACTGACCACCAGAGGTGATGGAGAAAACAATCACACGTTCTTCAGGTCTTAGCTTAATATACTGGAATCAGTGTTTCTACACCCCATACAGCAGAACTTCACCTCATAACCCTGAAAACTACGTTTTAGCTCAGAATTATTTAGGTCAGTGAATACTCCCGGATTTGTGCCAGAATTCAGTGAGCCTTTTAGCATAAAGCTTTAGTGAGTACAGCAGTGTAGACATTTGGGAAATTGGCTTTCCATTGAATTTACACATCTGTGTATATACTCCTTTTGTACTGGTGTACAACAGAAAAGCAGGAACTATGTAGCGCATTGAGCTCTGGCATTAAAAAAAACAAACAATGGCTTTTTGTGTATTTGTGGTCATGTGGATTACAACATCTCCGTAAATAAAAGGAGAGCATGCCTAGATAACAAAATACAGTCAGCGTGACACTTTGAAAGGAAGGATTTAGTAATTTCACACAGTGCGTTTTTCCTGTTAAGAGCAGTATTAATTCTGCTGGTCCCGATTGCCTCTCGGCAGCTTGAAGTAAAAGCATTTAGAACAAATTCTTGTTCCTTTAATCTCTCAGAAAGATCTCCCGCTGAGAGAGTCTTATCTTTACTTAAGCATTATCGGTTTCATGTTTTCTCACTCTATATGTGTGTGTGTGTGTGTGTGGTTGTGTCAGTGGCTTTAAATTGAGATAGATGGAGACATTTTGTCATTTGTGTTGAAGAAAGCCTACTTGTGGTACATAGTTTTTAAGCTTCTGTGTTTACAGAAATTTAATTTTAGGCCAAAAGTTGAAAATATTAAATGGAAAAAATAAACTGGACTGGTCAGAAAGAAAATGGTGTTTTACATGAATTTTTTAATGTCCCATTAAATGACACATCCGCTCATGTTTTGACCCATTTGACCTTTTCACGCTTCATACCAGCAATAAACCACTGTTGATTGGTTGGTGGGAAACTGAAAGATGTTGATTAATTAATTAGGAGGGACAGCTGTCTTATTGATTATGAAACATCTCCGGCCATTAATTAATGGTAATGTGGTGGTAAATCAGAGCGTCAGTTAATGGATTGAGGTTGAGGATGTGAGTGTAAATTATAAAGCATGCAATGTTATTCATATTCTACTGCTATTTGGGATTCTTCTGGCTCGTGCTTTGCACATTATATCTTGTGTGTGTGTGTATATATATATCTGTTTTGCATAGTTTATTAAGAAGATAATTTTTAATATGGTGCACATATGAAGTACAGCATGGCTTTTCATGTGCAGATGAACTTCTCTAATGAAGTTGCCTTGGAGCCCAAGACAGCCTCTGTGAGTTATTATTTACAGCATAGGTTGAGTCACTTAACGTTGTTAAATTTACAAGCAGCACCTCGCAAAACTACATCCACCTTTAACTGCTTCTCAAAACTGCCGTCACTCTACACTCCATTAGCACGGTCCAAAGTTCAGTATTAGTCACTTTGAAAAGCCTCTCTCCTGAAAAGGGAAATATGTTGGAGGCATTGTGCTGTGGCTGATGAGAACTGACATGTTTGGGATGTGTTTGCAGAAATATAGGGTTTGCTTTTAGTTCAGGGGCAACATGGGAGTCTGGCACGGCGTCCCTGAGGGGAAGTGCTCTAATACACACACACACACACACACACACCAATCAGACTCACTCAGCTCCAACTTAACCCAGGCCCCACACACACAGAAAACATGGCCGCCGCGGACTCGCTGGAGAAGGTGACGAGAGCTGAGAAGAAACCTCCCTCAGATAACATCACAAAAATCCTCTCTTCACATTGCTGCTTTATTTTTTCCCCATTTATAATTGAAAAGTATTAACTTATAACCTATACTCACTGACTAATGAAAGTCAAGTGCAAGGATTCTTGCTCCAGATCAGTTATGTAGTTTTACTTGAACATTTTTTTCACTCTCTTTTAGCCTTAGCACGCAACAGGCTGTGTTTGCTACTGTAGCTTTAAGAATTTCAATATGTAATTTACTGCTGTTTTTAATGATAAACATCAGCATGTGTGTGTATTTCCCTTATCAGAAGAGTCTTAGATGGATGATGGATGATAGATAACATTATCATATACAAAAATATATATGTATATGTTAAATTTTATTATAGTTTTTATTAAATTTTTCCTCAAGTAATAATTCAGTTAATTTATTGTAATGATAATATTTCTGAAAATATTAAAAACTTATTTTATATAAAATATAACAATATAATAGAATTGTGTGTACTCATTTAACCATTCTTATAATTCAAGTCATTTATTGTAATGATATTTCTCATTTAAAAATGTATTGTATAAAAATATATGCATATATAATAACATTTTATTTTTATTTTCTAATATATATATGTATATATATATATACTGTATATATATATA